CTTTGGATAACTGGATAATTTATAATAACGTATAACTGGATAATTTATCATTTTTAATTTATTGTTATTATTTTTACACATATGTTTTATACATTTATTTTCTTGGACTGGACAATTTTTGGATAACCAGATGTATTAATGTATCAATAAATATTAACCAGTTTTGTTAATTGGCCAAGTGGGCATGCAAATAATTTCAAGATGGAGAAATATCAGCCTTTATTACTAGTTACCCTTTATTACTAGTTTTTACAGTATACTCCAAATATACCATATACGTTTGTATTCTACATATAGCAAATTCTTAAGATTGCATAACATTTGCTTCAGTGTGTGGTCTAGAACAGCCTGAGAGCTCTCAATTCTCACTTTATTACCAGTTACATAACCCAGCTCAATCTTTTCTGCAGGATCTGAAGTTCATCTACGGCCGGTATATCGATATCTCCTCAGAGGAGGAGAGAAACATGTAAGCACCGCTGTCTCATGCCTCAGGCCCTTGTCTGGGGCCTCAATTCCGCGAATCACAATCAAAGCCAATGAAAAGAAAACATCACTCCTATTTTCCTCAGGAGTGGTGAATAAAGGCGAGTTCTTCATGAACATGTGCTGATGTATAAAGTGTGTTTGTTCCCGTCAGGTTTGATATTGTTTTGATGAAAGAGGGGAGGATGAAAGGTCAGGCCTTCATCGGGCTCCCCAGCGAGAGAAGCGCAGAGAAGGCCTTAAAGGAAACCAATGGATATGTTCTCAACGACAAACCTCTTGTGGTGGTATCCTTTGTTTTTCAGTCGTTTTTGGCATTAAGTTTCTGACAGAATGTTTTGTCTTTCTTTCTCCAACAAAAGCAGTGTGTTTTTGCTTGTCATACCTAGGATTTATTATTACAAATGTTTTACTGTCAAACAAAATCACGCCTTAACTTAAACTCCAGCAATTTGCCCGATCTGCAAAACCTAAACAGGAATCTGCTGACCCAAAGAAAGGAGGGAAAAAACACTGAACTGGTGGGTTAAAAGACCAACAATTTTTGTATTTATGTATATATTTTTATATCTATGTCTGTTGAAGTAGGTGGGTGACAAATGTACTGTTTATTTTTATTATAAATTAGTATAACTGGTTTGGATAGCCTCTTGATTTTGAAGCTTGAAGATTGATTTTTTATTTTTATTTTAGTTTTTTTTTTAGTTTTTGTGTCCAGATAAATTTTAACCCAACATTTCTATTTGTTTAAGATGATGTTGATGTACAATCATGAGCCTACAGGAGCTCCATCTTTACTTCATATCCTTTAAAATATCCTTTAAAAGAGTTATTATTAGCATA